ACAACAAAATTGTAATATGCTTTCTACTAGAACCAAAACAAATAAGTCTTCCATATCACTTGGAAAAGGGGTTTATCATAATCTAGGTACAAAATTCCGAGCACACATGCTTCACTTGCTCTCCTCCCTGTCTCAAGTTCTTTTCTCCTAGTTTTTAGTGTTGGGTTGTGTTTAAAATAGTGCAAAAAATCCTTAAGGCCGTAAAATGTTCTGAATCTGGGCTATAAAACATCTAGCCCCCAAAACTAAGGTCAGTAATAGAACGCCAGAAAGGGCAAATGAATGAGCTCACACCCCCAGTTTCCGTGAAGCTTATGCCATGATGTGTGCGCATCTCAATAAGTCTGAGCTTAAGCCTTTCAAATTATACTAACGTGCAATCTCCAAGGGGTTTAATGAATGTCTCATATTAGGCATGCTTCAAGGCAACTTCATAAGCCTTGGGCACTTTTTAAAACAATGTAACCAACACCATCAATCAAATTACCAGGATCATTTGCATACAATCCACATAAATGCTGAAAACAATTGCAAGATGGAAAGTGCCGTTACGACAAGACAAAAACATAAAGAGTTAATACCAGTGCAAACGAGATTCCTGCAGGCACCATTGCGGAAATCATGAAATACTCTGTTCCGATGATTTTGAAGCATCTTAGCATGAATATAGAAGCAAGAGTAGCCAAGCTCTGTGATTTTTTTAGCAAGAAGTTCTACTCGATTCACGGAATTGCAGAAAATAATAGACTGGTTTATTTGGAGCTGCCGAAAGAAATATTAATGAACATATAAATTATACAGCAAAATTACCAGATAAAGGCAGATGTGTGTGCTGTGTAATCAATTAAAAAAACTGCAGCTTGAACCTTTGAGAATAGAGTATTGAGGCAGTGAACTTTCTGTCTTTCTTCCACGAAAGCATAATACTGTGTTATACCCTTCAAGGTAAGCTCATCCATAAGGTTGATGATATAGGGCTTCTGCAGGTATCTATCTTTAAAATCTTTCACCGTAACAGGAAAGGTAGCAGAGAACATTAAGATTTGACGTCTTGGAGACATAAAATGAATTAACTGCTCAATGGAAGGTTGGAACTCCGGTGACAAAAGCTTATCAGCCTGAAAACAATAGCACAAATAAGATATGATTACATCATGCTCTGCTCTGTAGATTGCCCATGAAAATTACATTTATTTATTTTTTTTTCAATCTGTAAAAATTACATTCTTTCAAAACTCAAAGCAGGAGGAACGAAATCTTATATCAAATAGGATGTCCATAATCTGCCACTTAAAGTGGAAAGCCATGATCATTATATAAACTAAGCAATACTAAATTCAAAGCAAGAAAAATTCTAAAAGATCACCATGACTGTTATCCAAATTTAACACCCTGCCGTTTGCTTCATACATCCAAAAATAAAAATAAAAA